AAAAAAAAAAAAAGATCGCACTGTCAACCAGCAGAGGGCGCTCGAAGCCTGGGTGGGTGATTTAAAATGCAATAATGAAATGCCGAAAGTGTGGTTAAGGGATCATCACCACCGAAAAGGTTATTATACTCCGTTCCCACAAGAGGGCGTACACATCTCGACCTGGGACCTGAAGAAACTGTAACCAAGAGCTTCCATTGTGCTGCAAGTGGGAAGGACTAAGTGAGACGGGGTACCATTTCCTTGGGCTCTGTGGCATAGGTCCTTTTCCTAGTTGTTTACACTCAGCTCTGAGCAATAGTGTGCTGGCCCAAGTGCAGGAGCCCAATACGAGATGTGGGGTCTAGATTTGTCAGTCTTTGCAGCTAAAAAATTCACACCCTCAGGGAGAGGACCCCTCCACAGGCATGGGAGACAAGGGTCAGAGGCTATGGTCGGGTGACTCCGGCGCGTCACTGGGTGTGCACAACAAGGCATGTCTGCCATAGGCATTTAAGGCAGACGTGAGAATCCTGTTTCTGACAGCTGCAAATAATTCAGAGAGGACGACAGCAGAGGCCCATTTTGGTTTGGGCTTTACAGCTTCGCAAAACACTGGCAGCCGGGGCAGCCCGACAACGATCAGAATCAAGACAGTGTGGGATTCAGGGGTGGTGGTGAGAATGATACCCGATGAGATCTCAAGATGTCCCGGATCTGCAAACAAATTGCACCTTCCTGCTCCGACAAGCGATGGCCCGTCCCCCTCTGCAGCTCCTGCAGCCCAAATGCTCCCCTCAAGTGGCAGAACTTTACCCACATTTATGCCAGCTCCTTCTCCCCCTTTGGGGGCACTGAGATTTAAACAATAGCTCGGGGATTCTCCTCTGTCACATCCCACGTCCCCTATGAGGCTAGGCCACCGCTGTCCTCTCTGATGTCTCTGGGTTTCTCCAGTCTTCTTTGTACTTTAATGTAGCGACGGTGTGCAGGACACACTCAAGGGCCGGATGTCCCCTCAGTCTCCTCTGTCTTCCTCCATGAGACATGTGCGCCTGCTGGCTCGTGTTAGCTTTTCTGTTGATGGGACACAATACCCAACTCCCACCATGGAGACGGGGAGAGGTTTAGTCTGGCTCACGGTTTTTGGGAAATTCGGCCCGTGCTCAGCAGAGCCAACACGGTAGAAGGACGTGGCAGAAGACAGCTGGCTCAATTTACAGCAGCCTGGAAGCAGAGAGAGAGAGAGAAAGAAGGGGCGGAAACAAGAAGGCATCCCCTCCCAGGTTGTGCCCCGGTGACCGACCCCAGCCAGCCCTCTCCTCCTGCAGCACGTTCAGCGGTGGAGTTACCAAGGACGCATCCACTGAGAACATCGCCCCATGACCCAGTCACCTCCCAAAAGCACCACCCCTGAACATATTAGACTTCGGGCGACGCTTCTAAATTATAACACCACCCTGTGCATTTTCCTTCCAGCTGTTCCTGCACCTCCTGCGTCCCTTTCTTCTAGCACCGCCCCAAGTTGCTGTAGCTCATCCCATAGGTTGGAAGCACCAGTCAGTCAAACACGGTCAGGAGCTGGTATGTAAATACCCCGGCTTGCTCCTCCCTAAAAGACAGCAAGGTGGCCCTGAGGTGGGCCTCCCCAACCTCTCAAGAAAGGATGTGTTTGCTCCAGCTTCTAGGATTTCTATGGTGGTAGCAGCTGTCCCCTGTCAGCCCTTTGCTGCCTAGACCCTGCCTTCTTTAAGATAGAACTCTTCCTGGTGCAGCTCACGTACCCTACGTACAGAACAATGATGATCTGGCCACACCGAGCCGACCCAGTGGCATCTCTGAAGGACCATTCAGGATGTGTAACTCTCCGTACGGTCAGCCGTGGCTGCTGTCAGATCCCCTCTGCGGGACTTGTCCCCTGGACCTTTCCCACTCCCTTCTTATGACAAAACGAAAAGATGGATTTGGTCTTTGTCTGGATTTCTGAGTGAAGAGGCAGGTGTCTATTGACATTCGCAGCTAACCCCACTGACCACCACCTAAACCCGCGCTAATCAAGTGATTTAGGGCAGAGTTCCTGGCTAACTTCAGGATGGGGCTGATCACGGGAAAGACAAAATGAATGTTGAGAGGCTTGGAACTTTCAACCCCAACCACCAGTCTCCAGGACAGAGACTGAGCACTAGAGAAACTCTTGAGCAACAAGTTCTGGTCCACTTCCAGGGTACTGAACACATGCTGGAGGGTGGCACATTTAGAGAGGGCATGGGTGCCAATGACTCACTGTTTCCAGCGCGTGCCTGTTTTAGTTACTTCACTGAACATCACCACCTCAGGGTGCACTCACTTTCCTACAGAGGACTCAAGAGTATCCTTCTTTCTCGCAGCGTGGTACCCTGTTGTGTGTAAGTAGCACACTTTATCCGTTCGTCTGCTAATGGACAGACAGGCCACTTTCAAGATTTAGCTGCTAAGAATTCCACAGCTATAAACCTGGGTGTGCACGGATCCTGTAATATGACGTCTTTACCTCTTTCAGGAAGATAAATAGAAGGGGAATCGCTGGGTCAGGCAGAATTTCTAGTTTGTTTGTTTGTTTTTGCTTTTGAGGAATCTCCATACTGACTTCTGTAGTGGTTCTCCTAGTTTACAGTCCCATCCATCACGTAGAGGGGTTCATTTTTGCCCACAGCCCTACCAGCACTCAGCATTCCTTGGTTTCTGGAAGACGGTCACTCTCTCTGGAGCAAGATGGAATCTCAGCGCTGTTTTAACTCGCATTTCCATACGACCCAGTGACATAAGTGAGACGGGGTACCATTTCCTTGGGCTCTGGGGCATAGGTCCTTTTCCTAGTTGTTTACACTCAGCTCTGAGCAGTAGTGTGCTGGCCCAAGTGCAGGAGCCCAATACGAGATGTGGGGTCTAGATTTGTCAGTCTTTGCAGCTAAAAAATTCACACCCTCAGGAAGAGGACCCCTCCACAGGCATGGGAGACAAGGGTCAGAGGCTATGGTCGGGTGACTCCGGCGCGTCACTGGGTGTGCACAACAAGGCATGTCTGCCATAGGCATTTAAGGCAGACGTGAGAATCCTGTTTCTGATAGCTGCAAATAATTCAGAGAGGACGACAGCAGAGGCCCATTTTGGTTTGGGCTTTACAGCTTCGCAAAACACTGGCAGCCGGGGCAGCCCGACAACGATCAGAATCAAGACAGTGTGGGATTCAGGGGTGGTGGTGAGAATGATACCCGATGAGATCTCAAGATGTCCCGGATCTGCAAACAAATTGCACCTTCCTGCTCCGACAAGCGATGGCCCGTCCCCCTCTGCAGCTCCTGCAGCCCAAATGCTCCCCTCAAGTGGCAGAACTTTACCCACATTTATGCCAGCTCCTTCTCCCCCTTTGGGGGCACTGAGATTTAAACAATAGCTCGGGGATTCTCCTCTGTCACATCCCACGTCCCCTATGAGGCTAGGCCACCGCTGTCCTCTCTGATGTCTCTGGGTTTCTCCAGTCTTCTTTGTACTTTAATGTAGCGACGGTGTGCAGGACACACTCAAGGGCCGGATGTCCCCTCAGTCTCCTCTGTCTTCCTCCATGAGACATGTGCGCCTGCTGCATCGTGTTAGCTTTTCTGTTGATGGGACACAATACCCAACTCCCACCATGGAGACGGGGAGAGGTTTAGTCTGGCTCACGGTTTTTGGGAAATTCGGCCCGTGCTCAGCAGAGCCAACACGGTAGAAGGACGTGGCAGAAGACAGCTGGCTCAATTTACAGCAGCCTGGAAGCAGAGAGAGAGAGAGAAAGAAGGGGCGGAAACAAGAAGGCATCCCCTCCCAGGTTGTGCCCCGGTGACCGACCCCAGCCAGCCCTCTCCGCCTGCAGCACGTTCAGCGGTGGAGTTATCAAGGACGCATCCACTGAGAACATCGCCCCATGACCCAGTCACCTCCCAAAAGCACCACCCCTGAACATATTAGACTTCGGGCGACGCTTCTAAATTATAACACCACCCTGTGCATTTTCCTTCCAGCTGTTCCTGCACCTCCTGCGTCCCTTTCTTCTAGCACCGCCCCAAGTTGCTGTAGCTCATCCCATAGGTTGGAAGCACCAGTCAGTCAAACACGGTCAGGAGCTGGTATGTAAATACCCCGGCTTGCTCCTCCC